CACGCCGTCAGCCGCGTGTACATATCGGCCATCTTCCCCTGCATCAGCTGCGTGGGACGCGGGGAGACGTCAGCGCCGAGCCTGGGGATCGCCCCGTCCCCAGAGAAAGGCGCCCGCAGCCCCTCACCCACCGTGGGTGGGCTCAGAGAACCTCCCACCTTCTCACCGCATCGCGCAGCCCCGGCACAGACCCACGCAATGCACAGACCCACGCAAAGCCCTCCCGCGGCACAGCTCCCCGTCTTCCCATTTTTAAAGAGAAAAGCAAGACAATGAACATTTCCAATTCTGCCTCACCTGGAAGTGGCCAATCCTCTGTCCGAAGGCTTCTCGGACGTGCAGGTAGGGAATGGCGTGGTCCAGAACAGCCTGCATGAGCCTGCGGGGAGCACGGGCGTGCAGGAAGGGGAAGACGGCAGAAAAATTAACAGACAAATCGTAATTAAACCTCGGAAGCTCACTCTGAGGCCAGAGGTGCTCACACCCCCAGTGACGACCGTTCCCAGACCGGAGCCTTACCCCAGCGGGCCACCAGACAGCACCAGTCTCTCCAGGTCCAGCCCGCTCATCAGCACGTAGACTCCTTTGCTCAGCGTCCCCAGGATGTTCTCAGCTGCAATCGGCAAAGGAAAGCGAATCACTGCTGGGCAGAGCTAAGGGAAGCCGAGGGGCTGCGGGGACGATCCACACTCTTGGTCTCGTTCATGTTCTTCGCTTGCGACACAAGCGTTTGGGCGCCGGGTTTTGACCCACACACTCCCTACCGCTGAGATGCCTTCTCCACCCAACCAAAGCCCAAAGGAAAAGGCAGCAGAGGTTCTAAAGCACATCTACAACCGCTGCCGTTCTCTGTCTGCTTTCTAAAGAGCAGAGTGCTCCCCAGAGCTCTTCCAGCCCAGCTTTGTCCAACAAGAACAGGAGAGTTAACAGCCTGGGAGGAGAAACGGGGAGCCCCCTCCCCATCCCATCAGTTTGTATCTCACCCAGACCGGCAGCTTTCCATCTGATGTGTGTATTGGAAACGATCGCAAACCCTGATGTGCCCGGGTCACCCCTGAGCATCCCCAGCGCAGGAACCCAAGCTCCGCAGGCAGGCAGGCAGCCCGAGCCCACCACCCACCACCCATCACCCACCACCCATCACCCAGCACCCCCGGAGTGCCGGATATCGGTCTCTGGAGACCAGGGATACGAAAAGTCGTTATCCCCCCTTCTGCGAGGGGCGCTGAGCAGCACATTGCACTGGTTATAAATAAACATTATAAAAAGACAAGTATTATTCCTGTGAACATGGAAGAGGAAAATAGGCACATTAGGTGATGGGCTGAGAAAAACCTGAAGAAAGCGTTTCACGGTGGGACAATCTAAAGCCCACGCTGCTGTTCACGGGTATGAAAAGAGAAGCAGAACAAAAGGCTCCTCTCAGCCAGGCTGTGCTCGTACAGACAGGAGAGAACCCAAAGCCTGGCAGCTGTGCTCTGGAGATGGACCGGGATTATCCACCGATCGTACCACGCAGGGGAACCGACACACTTCAGCCTTTGATCACGAGAGATCCGAGAGATGTGATACGCAAAGTGAAAATGAGACAGGACTCGGACACGTGCTGATAGTCTCCTGAAATAAAGAATCTGCTTTTCAGCGGCAGAAGCTCGGGCGCTGCATTGTCTCCTGGTTAGTGAAGAGCATGGTGACACAGCGTACGGAGGAGCGCAGCACCGTCATCATCCCATCGGAGCTGGGAAGGGGAAGAGGGAAGCCTGGCTCTCAGCAAAAGCTCAAAAGCCCCACAGACCAGAAAGGAAAATACTAACAGCAAACATTGCTTTGAAGAAAGGAACACAAATGCCAGCATCAGTAATAATAAAATGACACCTCTAAGGTGACTGTTCATGAGCAATGACATCTCAGAGCTCAGAAAGGACTGAAGAGCCTGCAGGTTTCCTGGCTGTCCGGGGAGAAGGGATGGGGAGGTACGCGGGGAGCTGAAGGACACGGGTGAGGGCTGCACGAGGCGGGGCAAGACCTGCTGGCTGCGTATCACAGCAAAAAACCACCAAAAAATAAACTTGGGGCTCTCAGTCAACTTTTTTACCAATGCAATAGGAATGACTCCATGGACAACATCTATGAGAACAACACCAGCCACTCAGCGGAGCACGGCCGGCAGCGAAACCCGTGTCCTCCAAAGCGGCTGGAACTGCAGGGCTCGAGGACAGCTCGGTCCGAGAGAACCGTCCTGCAGACGTGTGAAATGGCACCAAACTGGTTCAGCTGCCAAGGCAGGAGGTCAGAGGCGGCACTAACGGCCGGAGCACAAAGCGCGTGAACTCAGCACGGCGGTGATGTGCTTCCCCGAGTTACGGGGAAATGGAAACCCCCTGACCATGAGAACGCGCTGTTGTGTGCGGATCATCGCCCAGGAGCTGATCTCAGACCTGGGCACTGGCCTTTCTGATTCCGGAGCAGAGGGACCCAGTAATGTCCAAAATGCCAGACCCCAGCTGAAGCTCCTGCGCTGACTGCAGAGCGGTCTGAGAGGTGTACGGGGCGCGGGAGCGACTTGCTCTGCGGGTACGCGATTGTCATGAGTTCACATGAGGCATCTCCTCCACTCACTCCACGGAGGCTGTAACCTTCCCACCAGCACCACCAGCCACAGGAGCGACACAATGGCCATGGCAGCGGCCTCTGCCATAGTGACCACGGGGGAGAGGATGTCCCTCTGCACGCCCTGACCCCAGAGGAGCTCAGCAGTGTTACAGGCAAACCAGAAGGCTGTTCAAAAAACCCAAAAGGCAGATCAGCTCTCCTCCATCCCGGCCGGGGAGCGCTGACGGACGCGCTCGTTCGCTCCAGCCCAGGAGATGGGCTCTCCCAGTTCCACCAGCTCTGCTGGGAGGCTGCCCAAGAGCAGATTCCCATCGGCAAAGCCCTCCGGGTCACAGCCTGACCGTGCCTGTAGTTACTGATCCAATTTATCTGGGAAACCACCACATGTGCAGTGCCACGGGCTGAACCCAGCTCACCGGGGATCTTGCAGTCCTCGAAGATCAGCTCGCAGGTGTTGGACCCCCTCATCCCCAGCTTATCCAGCTTCTGGGCTGTGCGGAAACCTGGCGTTCCCTGCGAAGCCAAGACAGCAAAAATACATGTCAAACCTCAATTCTGCCAGAGCAAATACAATCACCAGGGATCTGTGAGATTCCCCTGAGCACGCCAACACGCCGGGGTACCGGGAGGGAGGAAAGCCAGCTGCCCGCTGCGGGAACGAGAGCAGCTGGGGTGCAAGGGCAGAGGAAGGCAACGAGCAGAGAACCAGGCACACATGGGGGGCACGCATGAACCCAGCGCACCCATCTTCTAATGCACATAAATCAGATATGAAATAAATAAATCATTTGGACAGCTGCCAACACCGACTCTCCCGGAGTAAGGGTTGCAAGCGTCTGTCCTAATCGCTACGTCAAGCTTCCTGATCTCTGAGATTTTATATTTCCTGGATCCTTTATTTCACCCCAGCTTCCTGTCTTGCTTGTGGCGACAGAGATGCATCCAGCATGGCCTCAACTAATTAAAAAGGAAGAAAAAATCCCCGAGATCGCTGTTTTCCCAGGGCTCCCCGCTGAGCAGCCCCTTTCGGCTCCCCTCGGCCCCTGCTCTGCTTTGCACCTTTGGGTCATTTGGGATTGCAAAGGGGCAGTGCAAGAAAACGGGGGGAAGAAATTCACTGAGCTGGTTTAATGTCTTGGCTTAAAAAACCCCAAACCACATGAAGTTAGATAACGGCATAGTAGGACATATTTACAAGGCTTTCAATACCTCTGACAATTTTTGGCAACAAGCCCTTTTATATTAGAAACTTGTGCTTTCTCTCTTCATTTCTAACCCTAAAGACTGGTTACGTGCTTGGATCCCAAAATCTGAGAGCGCTCAGCTGACAGTGCAACACAGCATGCCACGGGGCAGGGACTGATCTCACGGGTTTACACAATTCGGGCAGAAAGTGTCGAGCAAGGGGCTGACAGTTACAGAGAGAAAACTCGCTGGCTTTGAGATGAGCCAGGCAGGGCGAGGGGGCGAGCTGTAAGAACCACACCGCAACAACCCCGTGAGGATTATCCAACCTACCCTCTCCACAATGAAGGCGGTTATACCCCGGGAGGCTGGAACAGCGCTCACGTCAGTTTTAGCATAAACGATGAGAACATCTGCATCCGGCCCATTGGTGATCCAGAATTTGTTCCCATTCAAAACGAAGCAGTCTCCTGGAAGCAAAGAGCTGCAACCTGTCAGCTCAGCACAGGCAACAGAGCACCACCCACACCCTCACACCGCTCATTTCAAAAAGGCTTCCCCCGCTGCCTCTTCCTGAGACTGAGCACCGTCTCAGTGGTGTGGGGAGGTCAGGCTGAATTCACAGGAGATGTCATTGTCACCAGCCCTCTGCCCAGGCAGCGCAGGACAGGCTTTACCTTTCTTCTCAGCTCTCAGCTTCATGGACACAACATCCGACCCAGCGTTGGGTTCGCTCATCGCTAAGGCTCCGATGTGCTCTCCGCTGATCAGCTGGAGGAAAAGACAAATATAAGGGAGGGAGAAGGGCAGCATTGTTTCCGTTCCCTGCTTTCCAATTTTTCAGCCTGCCTTCCCATTTATTTTCCTGCGCTGCATCTCCCCAGTAGCTGCTACAGGCGAGAAGCGCAAAGGGAGAGCTGCTGTTCGGGGGGTCCTGGCAGGAGCTCCCTCAGGCTGCGGTGCTGGGGGGGGGGGACAGGGCGAAACCGCCGCGGGACGAGCGGGGTGACCCAGCTGGTGTCTGGGTTGGTGGAACACAGCCCTGCCTGGAACACCAAGGTGCCCCGCGCGCCGTGCCGGCAGCCGTGTGCCTGCCACACGCTCCCCGAGCTGCGCTTTGCGACCGTGCTCCTACACCACCCAGAGCCGCTCCCAGGGAGGGGGATGAAGAGAGACTGCAGAGCTCCCAGCAGTGCCCGGTCCCCCCGCGCTCACTGCAACAGCAGAGGGACACCCTCCTCCTGAGCCTGGGCACACCGGCTCCGCCACAGCTGCTGCCTCTCCACTCTTCCCCCCATCCTGCCCTTCTCTCCTTGCCTATTTTTTTTTCTTCCCTGTGGACTTTTATCCATCTTTTGATCTCTTGTTTTCTCAAAAAACAGATGTAACACTTAAGGTAGATGTCCAACCAATGCAGTCCATCGGTGTGTTTCCACAGCAGGCGTCGTGACATGCCCACGGCCGCAGCGCTGAGGACAGCGCAGGGTTACACGTCAGCAGCTGCACAAGGCTGCACAGTGTGCTTTGCACGTGGTTTAAATCAAGTTTCTCGTACTGACAGTTTCCCTGATAATTTCAGTCGCTGGGATTCACTGCACTAGTTACGTTTTTCCCTGGATTTAAATTCTGAGATCTGTTCAAGGTGCTTTTGAGTCACAAACATCAACACCCCAAAGGATGAAGTTTCATGTGTAGTCACCTAACACAGGCAAACCAAACATCTGGGCAGTGAGAAATGGAGAACATAAAACAGGAAAGCAGCCAGTTGCATTCAGAACTCTCAAAACTATTTGGGAAGTTGGAAGGACATCATCCAGTGTCCCCTCAAAGCCCCCCTTAGCAGCACAGCCCCGGAGAGCTGGACTGCGCTGCCGGCAGGGGTCAATGCGATAGCGAAGGGCGAGCTGGGATCTGGGCAAGCACAACATTCCCTAAAGGCGGGGTGCCCGCAGTCGGCCGGCGGTTCAAGCGCTGCACCCTGTGAGACACTCATCCCTGCAGGCAGCCGGACCCCAACTGCTCCCCCTCTCCCCCCCGTCCCCGCCGCACACCTTGGGCAGGTACTTGCTCTTCTGGGCCTCGCTGCCGTGCCGCACCAGCTGGTTGATGCAAAGGTTGGAGTGGGCGCCGTAACTGAGCCCAACAGCTCCTGACGCACGGGAAATCTCCTCCATCACCAGCACGTGGTCCAGGTACCCCAGAGCAGATCCACCGTATTCCGCTGAAAAGGGAAGAATAGAAGGGGGAAGGGAAGAAATAGAAGGGGGAAGGGAAGAAATAGAAGGGGAAAGGGAAGAAATAGAAGGGGAAAGGGAAGAAATAGAAGGGGAAAGGGAAGAAATACGAAGGGGAAAGGGAAACCTGGTGTTAACCCCCATGGGGTGTATCCCACCTGCACAAGATCCCCGGGTCGGGCTCAGTCTTCAATGAGACCCGAGACACAAGAGAGGTTCTGTTTTCGGCTGACACTGGCCCTGAGCTGGGCGCCTCTGGCTCTCCCCATCCTCTCTCAATTTCAGTTTCTTATCTCAAAGGCACAGTGATGTTACTTCTCCAGCACAATCAATAATTTACTTTTACAGCACAGTTTAATACACATAACACGCACAAGGATAGGTCTGAAACACGCTGCTGACACCTGCGCAACGGTCAGTCCGTGTCAGCCACCAAGTGCAACCGTCACATCGCCGTGAAGATCAAACCCAAGCGGCAACCTTTATCAGGGGAGGGGACAAACCAGAGTCTGGGGTCTCACTATGAACACAGTCAACAGTTTAACAATTTCTCACATAGCCAAACCAGGAGAGTTCTCTGTTCGTTCCCACAGAGCGGATGGGTTTGGTGCTGTTGCTTGGAGAAAGGGACGGTAAGTGCCTGCTGTATGCGGTCCTGGCCCATGACTGCCTTGGACGGCAAGGGGCACAGGAAACTAATCCTGCCAGGCAGCTTCTCCTCTGATACAACCACAGTGCGCTTCAGAGTGATGCTGCCCTTTCAAAATTACTTTTTCTATATGACACGCCAGTATTGCCGTTCCACAGGAGCTGCATATTCCCATTTCTTAACTTGGCTCTTTATCAAATAAATGCAAAATTACATCAAGCCAACATAGCTTTCGTAGTTCTAAAAAGAAAACAAAAAGCACTTATTTAAGATGCTCCCTTGAAAGGCCTGACCCATCGGTGCCCAAATATGCCATTTCTCTGAGCATACACCTTCAGATCTCACATTATCTCCACATCCCAAATCCCAGCCTCACTTCCTACAGCAAAACCAAAGCCAACAGAGAAACTGCGCACAGCTACCCGACCGAAACAAGGGAAAAAATTCTGGGCAGAGGAGGGTTTTAGAGGTAAATCTTTGAGGAAATCCAAAAGGACAGGACTCACGAGGGGATGGCTTATTTATAGTGTGGGAAACTGCTGCAAGCCTCAGGCACCACATCAAAGAAGAAAGAAGGTAAGAGTGAGAAAAAACAGGAGCAGCAGTAAATTGGGAAGAGTCCAGAGAAAGCAAGCAGAACCACCGAGTCTTTCAGGCAGCCTCAGCGCCGCTGAGGCATGATTTCGAGGCATTGCTATTCAGCGGGCTGCCGCAGAAGCCTCGCGCGCGCGCACCCAGAAACACTGACCTCGCGGCGGGGAAATAAGGGCCCCATTGGCCGCTCCGCTGCACTAAGGGCTTCTCCTCATTACACCCTGCTCACGCATTCAGCACGACCACAGCAGCCGCAGCCGTCTCTAACATTAATCAAAACACTTTTCAACCAACCTGCACCAGGCTGAATACGATTTACCCTGATTTCTTCTGACTGGCTGGATGGGGCCAGCTCTCCGTTAGCGATCGCAGCTTTTCACAGCGCTGCTCTACACCCTCTAACTTCTACCAGAGACGGATGTTTGGTCCAGGATACTTTTATCTATAGCTCTCGTTCCTCAAAACTTGCAGCAAATGCTTCATATTGGAGAAGCGCAAACGTGTGCGAATTGCAAGTGTTATACCTGGAGAAACCCTTTCTGAACAGTGCTTTTAAACTGTAAAAGCCACTTTGGAACTGTCCAGAAGTCTAACAAGAAAACAGCATTCTGAGCCCATGAAGAATAACAAAAGTTACCAAAGGGTTTTGTAAAAACATGAAGACAGGAGCCTCTGGACAAAACGATGTCCCATCACAGACAGGGTTGTTATGAACTGGAAAAAGTGAGCTGAAGTCGTCTCTCCTTTGGTTGAGGAATCACCCAGCAGAAGGTAAAAGGTGGGAAGAGACTTACCAGGAGCTGTGATCCCCAGAACTCCCATTTCCCCAAGTTTCTTCCAAAACTCCTGCAAACACAGGGCAAGCAGTCAGGCCAGACTCGCAGGCAGGGCATCGGCACAAGAACCGTTCCCAGGCAGCTCGCCGGACACATCAATTCACCTTGTTCCTGTGATATCTCAGAGATAGATACACCAACACCTGTTCCTCCTGCAGCTCCAGCTCCATCCTTTGCACTAAGAACCCAGACAGACTTACAGACCTTAGTTACGCTACACGCAGGAGCAGCCTGTCGAACCCACAAGCCTAGATTTAACTCGGGAAGGACAGGTTCTAAGATTTAACCCATTGCCCAGTTTTTTTGGCATTTTTTTAATGAATTAAAACCTCCCATTAATTTCCAAAACTGCACTTCTAGGCTGCCATATACTATCTCTTGCTAAAGATTATTTAGGATTTTATGACTTAGATTTATTCTTGTCTGTTACCTTGCGCCTCCCCATCACTGTGCTTTGGCAGCACGGCGTGGGTCTGTTAGCCAGGGGTTGCCACAAACGGTGGTTAGCGTAAGGTACCCGTGACCGAAACCCTGGAAACACTTAGCAGATTAGCTGGCACTTTCAGACTCTTCCACTAAACCAGAAACTGCTCGGTAAAGCCAAGGAACCTCCCTGGGGGAGACTCCGAGCGCAGCCTCTCCTCCGCTACACGATGGACACACAGGTGAGCGCTTGTCCCATGGCCCCAGCATCCAGCGGCAAGAGAGTTATCAGTGAAGGGTCTCCAGAGACTTCAAAAAGTATTATTCAATAGCTCTGGATGACATCTGGTGCGCCAGACTAAATTTATATACTTAACTTCAAAGCTGTACGTCTATCCCTGAAAATGTCAACATCAGAGCTCCGGGGATCCGAGCAGATGTTCCGAGCTTTTTAAGTCTTGGGGAGCTTATGAAAACCAACAGTTAGATCTCTCATTTTCATCAAACCAACCATCCTGTTGCACTGAATTTGTTGTTTTTATTAGGAGGGCAAGTTTCATCTCAACAGTCAAACCTCTCTACACTGCAGCATTTGCACACAATATTTCCACACCAAATTTGAAAGAAAACTCAGATGTGCAGGACAGGGTCCCAGCTAGGAGAACACAAAGCACACACCAGAGAAGTTGTCTGAACAGAGCCGAGCAGAAATACCACAATGAGAAACCAAACAAGACCGTTATCACTCTTTTTTTTTTTTTTTTTTAATTGGGTGCTGGTTGGGTTCTGCCCCAGGTTGTTGAAAGTTGTTAACAGAAGATAAGACAGGAAATCAAAAAATTGTTTTCTCTCTGGCTTTCAAGTTTGCAAAGTTCCTGCATCTGTTCCTGTGGTGCAGACTGGGATTCTTTGTCTGGACTAACGTACAGATCAAAGTACAGACAGGCTTTCACGACCATCTTTTTTAAATGCACACATGAGATACTTGCCCGCATGCCTTTGAATTCATTTTCCTGGTCAATCTGTTGGGCCTTCGGAGCCAAATGCTCTTGACAGAACTTTGTCATGGTCTGTCTAAGCTGGGAAAAGAGATGAGGAGAAACACACACGTTACATCCCATCAATACCCTGTCATCTTCTTCCCTGGGATGCTGCCAACATTCCCCTGCCAGGCAGCGCCAGGATCTCAAACCCAGAAGGAAATTGATGTTTCTTCAGGTTACTGGCTGCCCGACCATCCCAAAGGCCCTTTAGTCTTTCACAGAGAAGATACCGATGTACTTAAGCTCCTCTCAGCATTTAACCTTAACAATCTTACCCCAACACGAGAGATGTTACTTAACTACTGCCTGCACTAGGGCTTCTGGTCAGGAAGCTTTGAAAGCTGATGAACAGAGCTCCCGAGGTATTATCACCATCCAGCAGCTGCTTACAGTTTCATTTAATTGTATGCAGATGTCTGTAATAAGCATGCATGCTAATTAAAACATGTTGGTGTATCAGACCAGAACTACAATAGCTATCCTACTACTTCCTACAGAGGGAAAATTTGATAAAGTCAGACATGCTCGTTGATGAACCGTTAAAAATCCCAAAAATCTTTTTCTCAATTTAAAAATCTGAATACTTACATACATGTATTCTGCACAAGTCTGTACACATACTAAGAAAATACAGACACTATCTTAAGTGTTTTTAATATGAAGATTTAAAAACTTCTTCTAGATATTATGGTAGAGCTTAAAAATCCCATTTTTCCTTTTGATTCAGTACCACCAAACAGGCTTTCCCCCTGCTGATAGATTTAAAAACTTAGAAAACCTAAAACCAAAAGACAGATACGTTTCCATCGTGACAAAGCTGACGGCAGTAAACCTGAGCATAAAGCTTAAAAGAAAAAAAAAGAAGCTTAAAACCATAATGGAAAAAAAAAAAAATCTTAATCAATTAGAGACTGAGGGAGAGTACCAGGGATGTCTGAGTCTATAAGCCAGTTTGTAAGTTCCAGTGCTCTTAATTCACAGCTTAACTAACATGACTGAAGATCTATTTCTGATTTTTTTTAGATTTTCCACCAGACAGATATGAACAATATTTTCCTCCTTTTACACCCGCTGAACACAGAAGCACAAAGAAACACCAAGTTCATTCAGGCTGGTAAGGCTATAAACCATGAACACACACCTGGCAAAGAATAATTCTGCAGTAAGAAAGAAACAAGAATAAGTAACTTTATTTTGTACATCCATATGCTTGCACTGTCGTAATTATCTAGAAAGCATGGCTACAGCTCCAGACCGGGGAAGCAGGAACAAGTAAAATAGTTTCATCGGCAGAAGCCTGTCGGGATCGACCTTCTGAAGACAGCACCCCTCCCTCACTCCCGGCCCCAGGGCAGCAGGGAACAAGCGCTGTGACGGGCTGCTGCTGAACACTGAGCACTGTAAAGCTAAGAACTATTATCCTACACCTTTAGATCCCCCACTGGGCAGGAGAACGAGCTGGGAGAGCTGCAACACATCTTTTGAGAGGATTTGGCTAGACCCAATTCATTTGTTCCGTGAGCGGTCACGTTTCTGATCGTTATCTCTGATCAAACGGGCCCAACGTCAGCGCAGCGGCCTTCTTCTATGCGTATCACTTCTCCGTGCGGTGTTTTATCGCGACAAGGCGCCTTTCCCCGCCGAGGAA